AAGCCCTTGGCCATCGATCTAATCCGGCCGAGGGATTGAAGACTTGAGACTCTTTTTGGGGTCGATTCGCTCCCCCAAACTCCCCACTGTTGATTTGATCCAATCGAGTCGAGCCAAAAGGGCAAGTGCCCTTCCCAATCTCCCCTCACAAGGAGAGGGCGCCATAAGGCTGCCAAATTTTCGAGGGAATAAAAATAATTCAAAATAAAATTAAATAAAATTAATCAAATAATATCACAGCAGGAGAAGATTTGAAGGAAGTCCCAGGGTTGATTAGGTCCCCCGAAGCCCTTGACCGTCGATCTGATCCGGTCGAGTGGATCAAAGATTATATCGGGATCAATCCGCTCTCCCGAACTCCTCGTCATCGATTTGATCCGGCTGAGTTAAGCTAAAAAGGGCAAGTGCCCTCCCCAACCTCCTGTGAGGGGAGGGGCACCGGAAGGCTGTCGGAATTTCATGGGGAATAAAATATCTTTTATAATTAAAATAAGTCACGTAATCGACACGTTGTGCTCAACAAGGATCATTGAAGACTATTAAAGAGATTGATTCGCTCTACCGAGCTCCTCGCCATCGATTTGATCTGGTCGAGTCGAGCCAAAAGGGCAAGTGCCCTCCCCTACCTCCCTTCGTGGGGAGGGGATGCCGGGAGGCTGCCGAAATTTTCAATAAACAACAAGTGACTTGGACAAAAAAATTGAAATTAATTTGAACATAATTCAAACATGAAATCAATTTTAAATCAAATTCGATCAAATAGTGTTGGACTTAGACTCAAACTCGAACCAGACTTGCACTCAACATGAATATAAGAACTTGAACTTTAATGAGCCATTTGGAATTGAATCTAAACTAAAATATAAGGAATCAAAATTTAAATTAAAAAACATACAATCAAGTAGGAAATACAATTGCTAAGTGATAAATTCAAGTCATCCAAATAAACATCTATCAATACAAAAGGGGACCCTCACACCATCAAATTGCTATTTTAAGTGATTTATGGTTATAAGTTTGTTATGTTTTATGTTTTAAGGAAGACTTTTTGTTTGCAATCTTAATTGTGCTTTTTTTATTGAATCAATTTTGTATCAGAGGCTTAGGTTTTAATGTCTTCCTTTATTTTTCTTTAGACAAAATTAAAATAAAAATGGACAATCATGATGTAATAGAATCTATTTTTGATGAAAATCAGCCAAGTGATCTTAAAGTCCAAATTCCAACAAGCAAATGGGTCCCGTCCCAAGGAAATTCTACCAATCCAATCCAGAATAAGCTATACAAAATTGAAGAAAAAATGTTTTTGTGCGCTAAAAGATATGAGAAGTGAAAGAGTCAACATCAAGCCCAATTTAATCAGGAAAAAGAAATTATTCAAAGAAGGTATGCGGTTCTTGCACAAAAGTTGGATATAGCTCAGTCTGCGCATGATAGAAGTTTTAGAGCGATCTCATCAAGAGATGAGAATTCTCCACCATGGGAGAATTGATGCGATCAAGGTATTGTTTGAAATTCCTATGTGTTGTTCGTTATTCCCTAGAGTTGTAAGTGTTGATTATACTTCCTTGTGCGTTGTTTAGACTTCCCTGTGTTGTTTGGAATTCCTATGTGTTGCTTGCTACTCCCTAGGTGTTGTATGTGCTGATTATACTTCCTTGTGTGATGTTTAGACTTCCCTATGTGCTGTTTGGAATTCCTATGTGATGTTTACTTCGATTTCCCCCCTCTTGGTTGTTGTCCCTTAGCTTTTGTTGTTATTTTTACGTGTTCCTAGTGGTTGGATAAAAGGTGTATTTATTTCCTGCATTTATTGACTTTTCCCTATATATAGGGGTTGTTTGCTGTTGTTTTAAGAAGGTTTTTGGTGTGAAAATATTTGGAATGTAAAAACCTGTGGGTTTTTTAGCTTACGAGCTAAGTCTTCTTTCCCCTTCTCCTCTTATATTTCATCTTGGACTTCTAAGCTCTTCTTCTCTATCCATGGTTCCCGCCTCACTTGTATCCTTCTTCTCTAAATTAATATAAGCTATATGTTTGTAAGTTTGTTATGTTTATGTTTTAAGGAAGACTTTTTATTTGCAATCTTAATTGTATTTTTTTTATTGCATCAAGATATGTTTGATGTACACAATATATTTCATATATTTATGCTTAAAGGGTGAGTGATAGATGATCATCGGAGGATTCCACATGATGACATTGAGATACATAGTGAACTAACATATTCAGAGGAACCTGAGAAGATCTAGAATTTGATGTTTGTAAAATGAGGAGCATAACAAATCTATATGTGAAAATAAAATGGAAGCATTGATCAATGAAAGAGACTACCTAGAAGAGAAGTGAATATAAGATAGAAATTCCCTCAATTATTTGACAAAGTATAAACAAGGAGAAATTCAAGGACGAAATTCTAATAAGAAAAGAATTGTAAAACCCAAATTTGACAAGGAAGAAATTCTAATTTGAGACATGTAAACCATCCAGTTAAATTTTCTTATACACTTATATAATGTACAACAATATTGATTCATTTGAATATATAAACTTATACATAGTTGAGGGACAAATAACATATATAGGCAAAAATAACAATTAGATAAGCCTAAGAAAATATCATGTTAGGTGACAGGCAAGTAGGGGCAGTGCAACCCACAGTGTAACTTATATAAAAAAGCCTACGAGCTATGATAAAAGGCCTACAGGCTATAAAGCCTACAAGCTATAGAGGCAGTGTAATCTCAAAAATGAACTAGATTTCAACCAGAATAGGGCCACATTTAGTTGTTATTTTAAATTTATTTTTGTCATTGTAATACTAAGTTAAGTGTAGCAGAGATGAGGATGCTCAGGTGGATGAGTGGCTTTACCCTTAGAGATAGGATACGAAATGAGCATATACGTGAAAAGGTTGGAGTAGCTCCAGTAGAAGATAAGATTAGAGAGAGTCTCCTTAGATGGTTTGGTCACATAAAAAGGCGGCCTTCCGATGACCCGGTTAGGAGAGAAGAGGTATTAGATTTGACTTGTGTTAAGAAAGGTAGGGGTAGACCTAAAAAGACTTGGTTAGAAAATATTAGGAATGACCTTTCTTTATTAGATTTAAACGAGAATTTCACTTTTAATAGGACACAATGGAGAAAAAGGATTCATGTACCCGACCCCACATAGTGGGACAAAGGCTTGATGTTGTTGTTGTTGTTATTCAAAATTCTTGATTGAGCTGGTACTTAATATTAAAGGAATAGCAACAGATACTCCATGCAACCGTATACAGAAGAAGAAAAGACAAAAGAAGGAACGCTGCTAATCTTTGTCATTACTTCAAAATAGGTGTATAGTGAGGCAACATATATGCAAAAAATAGATCAAGATAACTTTACATGTGTAAGGGTTTGTTATAGACTAAGAGGTCCAGATAGTGGTAGGACAGCAGGTACAACGTTTGGTGGCAGGATTGATTTTGAGGGTGTGCAACTATTACTCATTAATTATTGGATTTATTGCTGATTCTGTTTTCATAAGAAGAAATTCTTTTAAAAATTTTATTGTAACTATTACTCATCCATTATGTGTCTGGTTTGTTCTTTGAATGGGATTTACAAGAAGTGCAGGATTTTTTTTTTTAATTTTCAAATTAAAAAGATTGGAAGGGCAAAATATCCATACTGTGGTTTTAAATTTAATTGGATATCAATCCAAAACCGTTGGAATTGATCATTTTGCTTGAAAACCAACCTAAAATTGGCTGAGATTTTCCAATTTTGACTACTTTCAATAGTTCAATCTGAAACTAAGCTAAAATTATTGAAACGGTAAAAAACACGATGACATTTAGATAATAAAAAGATGATAAAGATGTAGTTGACGCTCTTAACAGTAAGGTTTTTTTCCGCATATATTTTATCTTTTGATATTATAACTAACTTTTTTTTTTTAAACCATCAATAACAATCTTAAGCTCAGGTGGAAAAGGCTGATAGTATTTTGAAATTTGTCGATTTGTGCCCCAACAAAAAAAAACAAATTTCTAGCTATGCCCCTATGTATATTTATGACTCGGTGATGAAAACTCTATTATATGTACTAAGGTTCAGCGTGACTTATTAATTGAACAACAGCTCATTATTAACCAAAGTTCACCTCAAAGTAGGACCTTGCATTTTCAATGTCCACTCTTTGTTATCCAGTTGTGTAATTATGTAGCCATTGTATGCATGAATGCATGCTTTCATATCGTTAAATCATATCCAATTTTCAAAGCACCAGAAACAGAGGAAAATTGTAGTTTTCTCGACTCATATGCATGAAGAAAAGAAAATACTTGAGCACCAATACCAATAGAGGAAAAACTTCTACAGAACTACATTACCTGCCCGGGAGGAAAGAGTAGAGGTGCATCAGTCAACATAGCTTTATCAACCTCAAAATTAGCAGCTTCTCGCAGTTCCTATTTAGAAAGAGAATCAATTACATTGAAGAAGAATAATATTAAAACACTACATGTCCATATCTAAAGAACAAAACACTGTAAATACGAGAATTTGAAAATTCATGCATTAAACAATTTAAATGTTGAAATGGAAAATAACAAGGCATAGATACTAAATGTCACTTTCGCACTGATGTGTACTTTGACAATTCCTGGTCCAAGTTGAAGCTTGTGCGCTGAAAACAGGTAGGAAGTGAGCAGTAAAGTTATTCACAAATTTCCTAGAGAAACAGGCCCGCATGCATCAATGAAGATTGTACGCCTTCGTATGAAGTTTGAATCAAGGCCATAAAAGAAAGATTCAGAATTTTTTTTCTTCCTAAATCTTCTTTACGGCATGGACCTCCGAGCCTTGGACACAAATAGGTCTGTTGGTCCAAATAATTATTTTTCCACACTTGTTCTTATTAGAAGGATTCCAGTAGATAGATTGGGGACTACTCATCTCTCCTTCAGCTAACTATAACATTCCTACGATCACATAAGGCTTCCCAAGAAGACTGTCCACCCATCAGGACACTAAACGGGAGCTTATTATAATCATAAGACATAAAAAGTTATAGCAATTATAAGCGACTAATAAAAACAACAAGAAGCCTCTATCCCATTATGTGGGGTCTACTATATGAATCTTTTTTATCCATTCTGTCCTATTAAGAATCAAATCCTCATTTAAATCTAAAAAATGGGTTATTTTTATTACTTTCAAATCAAGTCTTTTTAGATCAACTTCTACCTTTTTTAGCATAAGTTGGATCTAACACATCTACTCTCCTAAAAGGGTCATCGGAAGGCCGGTGTTTTATGTGCCCAAACCATCTAAGATGGCTCTCTCTAATTTTTTTTGCCACTAGAGCTACTCCAACCTTTTCACATAGATACTCATTTCTCATTGTGTCTAAGTGTAAAGACAATCATCTAACTGAGCATCCTCATCTTTGCAACACTTAATTTTATTCTTCTCTTTTAATGGCCAACATTATGCACCATAAAACACTGTAGGTCTCACCACTATCTTAAAAAATTATAGAAAAAGATGATGCATTCCTCTTCTTCAACTATTCAACTTGAATTCTAATAATCATATCCCATATATTTCACCATCACTTTGAACAATAGATCCTAGATATCTAAAACATGCACTCTATTTAATGACTTGATCGCCCAATATCACAATCCCACCACAAGATCTATTACTACTAAAATTATACTCCATGTATTTGCTTTTAGATCTACTCAAATGAAAACATTTAGACTCTAAAGTTGATCTCTACAATTCAAGTTTTTAATCAACTCCCTCTCTAGCTATTACCAAGAAGAATATCATCAGCAGAAAGCATACACCAAGGTACATCCTCTTCCGAATGTCTAGTAAGAACATTGTATATATTATAATAACTCTAGTTGGAATGTTTTATAGATTAACTGTGTATTTAGAGCTACTATATTTGAGCAAGTTCTCATAATTATGCTCAATAGAAATTTTCTAATCATATTACAAATGAGAGATTTTGATGAAGCTTACTGGCTTGAAAGTCTAATGATGGAGCTTCCCTATCATAATTGCTGTCATGATTTGTCTCCCCTATTAACTCGCCAAACAAATATTTTTCACTATTGTTATCGCATCTAGATTTTATGCTAATGGAAAATTGTGCATATGGATCCCTATTATTCAATTCTTAATTGTCTACAGTATATTGACATATGAAGTATTTGAATTTGTTTGTTTTTAGGTGATCATAAAATGTCAGATTCAGTTCAATCTTTAAAAAAAAATCCAGCATGGAAATATGCTATTCTGACAAATGAATCCGACAACAACAATGTGACATGCATTTTTTGTGGTAAAATAACAAAAGGAGGAATTACATGCCACAAACAACACATTGTTGGGGGTTTTAGGAATGCAAGGCCGTGCTTTAACTGTCCCGAGCACTTTAAGTCTGAAATTAAGGCATCCATGTTGAAAAAAAAGGATTTAAATGAACAGTTTAATGACACATCAAATGTCAACCTAGCTGAAGAAGAAGGAGAAGACTTTGATGTGATGACAGATGATATTTTGGGTGTTGGAATCCAAAATGTTGCGGACAAATATATCTAACACATCTAGTCAAAGTTCGACATCTACTTCTATCTTCAAAACATCACAAGCTAAAGGTCCATTAGATACTTACACTAAATCCTGAAGATGTAGTAAAGCATAAAAATGGTCAGTTTAGTAAAGAAATAGATGCAGCTAAAAAAGAAATGAGGGGAAGGCCTATTCAAGTGTTCAGTAGATGGATGTACGATGCTGAGATTCTATTTAATGCTGTGAAATATGATAGTTTCCTTGCTATGGTGGAAGCACTTGGACAGTTTGGACTAGGTATGAAACCTCCTAGTTATCATGAGATACGAGTTACTTTTTTGAACAAAGAGGTTGGACATACACATGAGCTATTACGATGTCATCAAGAAGATTGTATATGATTTGGTTGTTCTCTAATGACAGATGGATGGACGTCGAGGAATAGGAAAAGCTTAATCAATTTTCTTGTTAATTGTCTAAGAGGTAGCGCATTTATAGAGTCAATTGATGCTAGTTTTTTCTCCAAGAATGCTGTGAAAATGTTTGAATTATTTTGCAAGTACATCGAGGTTATTGAACCACGTAATGTGATCCAAGTGGTCACTGATAATGCAACCGAAAATGTTCTTGCAGGTTTGTTACAACTTTTTACTTAAGCTCTGTTATTTCATGAAGATTTTTTATATATCTTAACTTAAATTATACTGACATAACAAGAAAATTATTGATGGACAAATATCCTCACATTTATTGGACTCCTTGTGCTGCTCACTGTTTGGATTTAATAATGGATGGCATTTTCAATATTCAAAAGCTAAGGCGATGCTTTGAAAAAGCTGTGGAAGTACACAGTTTTTTATATTCTAAACCTTGTTTGCTTGAGTTAATGAGAATGTGCACAAATCAAAGAGCACTTGTCAAACCCGCAAAGACTCGTTTTGCAACAGCTTTCTTAACTTTACAACATTTTCATCAACAATAACTGAACTTGAAGAGAATATTTACATGTGAGGAGTTTATCTTGGGTTCTTATACGAAAGAGGCTAAAGCAAAACAATCTCAACATACAATCTTACAACAATCATTTTGGAACACTATAATGTATGCCTTAAAAATAGCTGATCATTTATTAAAGATTCTTAGATTAGTTGATGGAGAGAAGAAACCCCCAATGGCTTACATGTATGAAGAAATGGATAGAGCAAAAGAGACAATTGTTATAAGCTTCAATAACAGTGATAAGTATGATCAAGTTTTTAAAATTATTGATATAAGATGGAAAGTTCAATTAAACTGGCCTCTACATGCAGCGGGACATTTTTTAAATCTTGAATATTTCTTCAATAATTCTAATACTGCCAAGGATAAGAAAATAACTGATGGTCTTTACCAATGTATTGAAAGTTTATCTCAAGATGAAGCTGAAGAAGACAATCAATAATGAATTAAGTTTATACATTAGAGGTGAAAGATTATTTGGTATTCCTCCAGTTGTAAGACAAAGAACTACCCGATCTCTAGGTATTATTATTTACAAAAAAATAAAGACTGATTTGCATGCATATAATATTAAAAAAAAATCAATTCATACAGCTGATTGGTGGTTAGCATATGGACAAGGAGCTCCTAATTTACAAAGCTTTGCTATCAAAGTCCTAAGTCTAACATGTAGTTCATCCGAATGTGAACATAATTAGAGTATTTTTGAACATGTAAGTATTTTACAATGTATGTGTTGCTATTTATATATGTTTATAATATACTAATCTAATAATATTTTATTTGCAGCTTCATAGAAAGCGAAGAAGCAACTTGAATCATGATCGCTTAAAGGATTTAATTTATGTGAAATATAATAGAGCATTGATTCGAAGATTCAATCATCGTGATGTGATTGATCCTATTTCTTTGACTGAGATAGATGACGCAAATGAGTGGCTAACAGGAAAATTAGATGATGAGTCTGATAAAGAAAATGATTTTATTGCTGAAGATGAAGATTTAACTTGGACAAGTGTTGTTAAGGCTACTGGTGTTTATGATAAAAGCTATAATATTCGGGAAAGATCTAAAGGGAAAGAGAAGTAATCTTCAATTAGGCATGATATTGCTATTGAGAATGAGGATGAGGGTGATGAAGAGGCTTATGAAGTAGGAGACAATGGTGATGAAGATATTTTAACATTTACTGATGATGATGATTCCCAAGAAGAGTAGATTAAATTCTTATTTGACCTTTTAAAAAAATATTGTAATATTTGAATTATGAGATTTTTGGATGTTTCTTACTCGAACTTATATATGTTATGGTTGTCTTTCATTATTATGATACATTGTCTTTCATTTTTAATGATATTTCATATTCATGTTTATTATTTTATAATTCTTATTTAGTTTACGCCATGTTCAAAAAAGCGCGCCGCGCCGTGCGCTATGCGCCATGTCTCCAAAGGAACCTTTGCGCCTTGGTGCGCCGTTCGCCGTTAACAGGTATGCCCTCATCATTATGACATAAGCCCACAATAAAAGGATAAAAAGGATAGAAAAGGGTTTTTTTTGAAGGAACCATAATTATTTATGAATCAAAATATAGGTCTACTCAATTGAGCTTTTTTTGTTTGTTATTTAATACCTTTATATCTCTAATTTGATTTCTTGCAATAGATAGCAAATTTGCTATCTGATTTTTATTTCTCTTTCAAACAACAGAAAACAATTGTTTCTCATACTGTTTTCATTGAATGGCAACCAAGATCTAGTTTTCCCTTCTCATGAATGCATCTAACATCAACCATGTTCTCTATTTGTTTTTGCACTAGTTTTCAATGGATAGCAACTGAGATGTTCTCTCTTCTCTAGGAAGTGGGAAACAATAGCAACA